AAATGATGCTGGTTTGAAGTCAAAGGGTAGTAACACCAAATATTGATTTGATTTAGATTTTTCTTTTGTTCGCTCACTTTGCATTTTGTAAATTGATAAAAATAAACAATTATTATTTATATTTTTGAAAGCATTCTTAGTTTACAGCATTTTTTCAAACCTGCCTAAAACTTTTGCACAGTACTGTATATATACTGTATATTGACAGAAACACACAAACACCATTTTCATGATTTGGATTAACCTTCAAAATAAAAGTCTCAACATGGTAAGAGGGAGTTATTGTTTCTGTTGAACAAAACCTTATGCAATTTATACTGCCAAACACAGAAGCACAGACACTTTCAACATAAGAGTCTCAAAAAGGTAAGAGGTAAGGTAGGTAATAAAAGTTCAATCTTAGAAGCTATCGTCTTTATGGGGATATAGTGGTATACCTTTATTGCAATATATGTTAGGGCATGTACATGTGTGCATACATGTCTTGCTATGGTTGTGGAGACAAATTTGGGTTTGAAACCATCAGTGTAAGGTTATTTTGGCCAGTTGTGGTAGCTTCAAAATGCCTTTTGAGGGATACTTGCAGTGACTGAGGTCATTGTCAGGATAAGACTCTGCCACATGAATGAAACTGAAAGTAACGTCCTTCGACAGATTGAAATGTGAGGACTGAAGTACACACACCAAGCAGCAGGCAAATTCGAAAATTCTCCAGGAATTTTTCTCGTTTATATTTTTAAAGGTGTTAATTTTGCTTTGAGCTAAATGCTAAAATCATTATGCTAACATGCTCACTATTGCAAAGCTGACATACTGATGTCTAAAATGTAAAATTTTCATCATGTTCACCATCTTAGTGTGGCATTTTAGCAGGCTAACCATTTGCTAATTAGCACTAAACACAAAGTACAGCTGAAGCTGATGGGATTGTCATTAGTTTCACATGTATTTGGTTCCAAAGCAAAGCACTGGACACATTGAAATTTTGACCTAATGATGCCACTAGATGAAAAGTCAGCAGATCACCAGTTTTTCCAGTTCATTCAGAGGGGAACATGAAGGTGTTTATCTTTTGACTTTTCTTATACGGCCACGATAATTGTTCAGAGTGAATTGCCCTGATGGATGCCATTAAATATGATACAGATATCCATATCCCCATTGGGATTAATTGTAACTGGTTATTTTGTCATTTTTAATCTACCATCATCAGAGAATATGTCCTTTGTCCCATATCTGGGTTTATGACCAGATACCTTCAAAACTATTGACATTTCCAGCCTCAGATGTACTCTGTGTTCATTGCTACTGAGCAAATATTAGTTTGCTACGATGCTAAACTAAAGTTGAGACTATGGTAATCATTACCTGCTAAACATTGGCTTGTTTATATTATCACAATGACCATGTTAGTATGCTGATGTTAGCATTTAGTCAAAGCACCACGATGCCTAAGTGCAGCACAGCGGTGCTAGCAAGGCAGGCCCTATTTTAACAGTCCGGAGCGTGTGGCACAAGTGCATTTATGGTGTGCCCATGTCACTTGCACTAATTTAATGGCGGATAAACTGTCACTGCTCTAGGCTCATGGTTCAAAATGGTCATACTTAGTCTGTTAATTATTCATGGGAGTATTCTATTACAATAAACCAATCACAGTGCCACCATTTGTGGTCAGTTGATTATATATTGTGACTGAGCTGAATGACACAGCTCTACAAAGAAATAACGAGACAATTCACAATGATAGAAATATTTTATGTTACATTATGTGAAGTGTAAACAAATCTTTGGTTCATTATGAAATTGTTGTGGACAATATGTCACAATCCTTCAATCTTCTGAGGCTATGCTGTAATATTAACCTGACAAACATTTGAAGCACATTTTCAGCTCACTCTGCTTCATGCACTCATATAGGTGCATATTACTCTCTTGATAATATACCTTAATCAACAGTGAAATACTGTGCTACTAAGACCAGGTTTTTTTTTTTTGTTTGTTTGTTTTGGGGGCTTTTTATGCCTTTATTTGATAGTACAGTAAAAAGACAGAGAGAGGGGGAATGACATGCAGCAAAGGCCGTCCGATGCGGGACTCGAACCGGGGCCAACTGCAGCGAGGACTGTAGCCTCTACACATGGCTGCCTGCTTAGACCACTACACCACACGACGCCCCAAGACCAGGTTTTTGTTGGTCAATCACTTTCGGCTGCTTTAAAATAGCAATGTGCCAGCAATGCGCCTGACCACACCTCATTTTAAAGCCAACACGCCCATGAGCGCTCAGATGATCGCATGTGTATTTGCTATTTAAACAACGTGGGCGCTGGACAGGAAAATGTCAGCTTTGGTTTGAAATTAGCACTTGTGTTTCACTTTGCAGCATTAACAATACTGCTATATGTGTTCAGTTGAAAGATTAAGGCAAAGAATTTATTGTGACAATCTTTTTCTCCGAAATACAAAATCAATTGTGAATTTCAAGTAGCATTTGTTCTAGAGATGCACCGAATGGAATTTTCTTGGCCAATTCCAATTTTTTTTTTTTTTTTTTTTTAAAGTCTAAGCTGCCAGTACAGATTTTGACTGATTCTGATTTTCTTTCTACAATTGACAGCTATACAAACATTTTGTAACTTTTTTTTAACAGACAATTAATTGTATGTTCAAAATAAAACATTGACTAGGTGAAGAACTCTCTCTCTCGCTCTCAACGGCGGTAAATTTAGATCATGTGACTGCTTTCTGGTTACAAGTCTCAATTTTTTGGACTGCTCGTCGATGAAGGATGATTATTATTATTGATTGCCAGCCATCAAGCACAGGTGAGGTCAGTGGTGTGGGACTAGTTTTAGTTGCTTTGTCTTTGGCTTCTTGAAATTGGACATGTTCAATAGGCTGATGTTGTTTAAGTTCTGATTAAGTTATTCCGCATGTTCTCGGCTTACTTTGGCCTTACAGGCATTACACATTGCAAGCTTTGTGTCTTCTTCACGCTGACAGCATGTTGTTATTTATGTTGTTTTATGGAGACAAGCTGAACCTTTTTGGAATATGACCGCATGTTGTGTTCGTGTGTAGCTTGTCGTATGCTGTTATTTGTGTAAAGTGAACCATCGTGTGGAGCATGAGTGTAAATTTTACCAAACTGGAAATCTAAGACGGCCAGTCACTGATCATAGTCTAACATGCTGAAAACCAGCCTTTTCCAAACGCCAGCTGATCGAGTGTTGCATTTCTAATTTGGTGATATTGTCATTTTGTCAATGAATTAACTGGTCATCCATTCTCATTCTCCTAGAATCCATTATTAATTGGTATCAGGTGGTTATTATGTCAGCTTTTATGGGCAGTGTTGAGCTTAGCTTGTAAAACACCTTCACTAAAACCTGAATCCTGAGCCAGTACCTCTCATCTCTCCTCAAAAGTGACCTCTGTGTAGAGGCTGCTGCTCCATCTGTCAACATGAGTAAGGGAATACAACGGCAGAGTAAAAGTCACAAGAGTTAATGTTGCGTTCAGTCTTCTGCCGTGCGTGTTAAGAGTTATTAATGGAGTGTGTGTTGCTAATTGCACTGCTCAAGTTGCTGTTACCGTACATGACTTTGGCCTTGGTGAAAATGTCATTACAAGTCTAGCTATGACTGATATATAGTAGTAGAGCCCAGTGCAAGGTTCACTCATGACACAAGGCTCAACTCCTGCACATCATAGGAAGTGTTAACATTAAACTTACACTGACTGCAAAACTGGTTCAGAGGTTCACCTCATCCATTATAACTGTGTATATTATAACATTTATTAGGCTTTTTTTTTATAGCCACCAAGGGTCAGAGTTTATACTCTAAATTTGACCCTTCCCACTACTTTTATATCCTTTGACCGTGAGCTAATTAAATCAAAGTCTTACAAAAAACGAGAGGGGTCTCTATTTCTCCACTACTGTTTGGCAACTCAAGAAAACGTAAGTGAGCTATAGAAAGGTGAAGTGAAAGCACAGTTTCAAAGTTCTGTTCCAGAATTGAGAAAAACCTCATTTAAAGGCATATTTACATTAATAATATAATAATTAATAATGTATAATAATTTAAATGAAAAAAAAGAATACAGCCCTCAGACACACACTTGCTCAACACTATATTTACTTGATTTGTCTAGACAGCAATAGTCAATTTAAAAAAAAACGTTTAATTCATTTATTTAATATTTCTGATGGTAACTATCTTCAACAAACACTATTTCAGCAATTTCCTACAAAACCTAAGACCGACTGTAGGTTGATGAAGGAATCTTCATTGTTCTGGAAAATGTTTAATTTGCTTTCTTTCCAAGAAGAAGACTGTGTCTTTGTGTTTAGCACTTAGCATAAAAGACTAGAAGTAATGGGAAACAGCCTGGCCCAGAGTTCAAACCCTCACCTACACACACTTCTGAAGATCAATATTTAATATGTCACTATCATTCGTTTGATCTGAACACAGCCAGAAATGTAAAAACCTGATAACTTCACTGTAGAGACACACAGTCACTGCAGCCAGCTGCCAAGAAATAGTTCTGGCACAGAACCCTTCCTTAAACCACATATTATTGCCACATTCTCTGTCTGTGTGTGGATTAAGGAAGTGATAGACAACATGTTAATTAACGAGCTTTAGAGGTGTAACCTGCATTATCAACTTTGAACAGAACCCCGTCTTTATGCTTAGCTAGGCTAACCAGGTCAAGACTGGGCTCTGTAACACACAGACATGAGAATGATATATATTATTCAACTCACTCTGCAAAGAAAGCAAATACGTAACTCAGATGTGAATTCAACTTTTCTTCTGTGAGAAGAATGGTTTCTTTCTTCTTCTCTGGTTTTGAAAGAAGGAAATCTACTTGTAAGGTAGATAAATTCCACTTTTTGAATATTTGATTGTGTGTGTGTACTTGTCTACTAATGGGTTGAAACAGTCTTGTCCTTGCTATGATTTGTCTCTTCTCTCTGACTGCAGCTCTGTGAGTCTCTGGAGGAGCTGTTGAATGTGAATGGGGAGCTGCGGAGTGAAGGCCAGGCCATGTGGACTCTGCTGGGGGGCATCCTGGGCCAGGTAAGACCACAATCTCTGCCACTTCACACCTTCTCCTATTACCTCCAACCACTATGCTCTTCATGCACAGATTACTTGTTGTGAAAGTTGTAGTTTTCCTTTTTTAGCTTCTTTAGCAATGATGTGTGATGGAGAACTTTCCAAATTGCAAGTAGCAAGCGACATGGCCTGTAATAACCCTGCTGCAGAGTCCTACATCGGTCAACTTTTGCAAATCTGCTTGGTACCAGAACCAAACTTACTTGCAAATATCTCTAAATCAAGTCTGAACTGACCTGACCCATTCATACTAGTTCCTTGAGCCCTACCTGTAACGTTAAACACAGAGGCTACACAGTCACTGACTTTAATACTCACCAGATTGCATTGAAGTAGGGCTTGTATGATGGCCGGTCTGAAGTTATGTGATGTACTGTCACAACACTCGCTCAGTCAGCTCCCACTTGTCGCTGATGTGAAGTCACACAAAGATAACCAATTATAAGGTAATCATGTGTCCACATATTCAAAGTGATTGTCTGTTGCTTTCACTCAGCTGCATTCTCAGTTCTGGAATGATTAGTTGAGGGGTGAGAAGTTGTGTCTGAGGCATTCACAATGAAAAAGTCATGGTGGCTAATTAGGGCTGATTTAAAAAAAAATAAAAAATAAAAATAAATAAAACAATAAAAAAATGGGCCTATAATTTATTGTGTATTCTGTTTTCTTTTTTGTTGCCCACCCACATTTAGTTCATTTTTACCTGTGAATTAATATAAACATACATTTTATGCTTTACAAATGATTTTTGTGGGTTCCATGTGAGGAGCAGAGCAGGACTCTCCTGTTTATGGAAATCCTTTCATTTTGCAATTGATTGACCTTTTCCATGAAGTCAGACCTCACTGTCAAGGTATAAGCTGTCTCCCACTTCTCGTTCCTGTATATACTGTAGTAGTAGTACAACTGAAACAGTCAACTCAAATAGTATTCGAGAGCAAACCTAAATCTAAAAATATCCAGTCACATCTCCCGTCTCCACAGTTTAAAAAAGATGATGGAACTAAGGTCAGAGTGTCGTGTACTCCCACAACCAACCAGTCGTTTAACAGGAAGTGGACCTCAGAGAGAAAATAATAGCCAGTTCATCTGCAGACAAACCATTTACAAAAGGTATTTTAGCTTCTGGATCAGGGGTCTCAAATTACTGACTCACAGGTACTTTGTATGTTTGTTTGTTTGTTTTTCTCCATTTTGATTATTTCCCAGTGTTTTTATTTTATAGTAATCATTTAAAGAGGCAGTAGACTACTTTCCCTCTAGAGTTTTCTATTGATGATATTAATGTTGGTGCAGCTGTCTCAAAGCAGAATATAATATGTTTCACTACTGCTCATTTTAGAAAGGTCATCGCCTGTTTATATTAAATGGATAATGAATCGCGGTGTTAGCAACATGGCTACTGTCCAAAGCAAGAAACAACAAGACTCCCAGTTTGAACTGGAAACCCTGATCTCAGTGTTGTGATAAAGGAATAGTGAACCTGGTTGTATTAATAAGTTGGCAGGTTTTGTTACTTACTGATCTAGTAGACATAAGTTTTGAACCCTCTCACATCCCTGAGCTCTATCCATAGTTGGACTGACCAGAGAAACTACCTGGACAAAGCCCTGTAATCAGCGCATCTGTAAAAAAAAGAAAAAAAAATCATTAAATCAGTCCCAGCAGACAAGTCCAGGACTGAATTTCTGTCTCAGTCCAACCGTGACTCTCTCTTTCATTTAAATGCCCTTCTGCCATTGCATTATGCAATCATTTACTTCATTTACTTCATGATGATAAGTTAAAATTAACAGTTGTATATTGTGTCTTTAATATTTTAGCAAGGATGGGAAATCCATCCATCCATTATCTATACCACTTATCCTTATAGGGTCGCAGGGGGGCTGGAGCCAATCCCAGCTGACATTGGGTGAGGGCGGTGGTATACCCCAGGACAGGTCACCAGTCCGTCACAGGGCCGACACACAGATACAAACAACCATCCACGCTCACATTCACACCTATGGGCACTTTAGAGTCACCAATTAACCTGTTGTGCATGTTTTTGGACTGTGGGAGGAAGCCAGAGTACCCGGAGAGAACCCACGCAGGCACAGAGAGAAAGGCCCCATGCCTGCATTTTGAACCCAGAACCTTCTTGGTGTGAGGCGACAGCGCTAACCACTGCATCACCGTACCGCCCTAGGACAGAAAAGTTGAGTGTAAAAATTGGCTATTGATTTCACATTTAACATTTAACTAAATACAAATGTTCAACGTGTTGATACCTGACCCTAAAATCTTTCTTTCTAATCCTGAAAAAAAATATTTACCTTGAGGACATCTACAACAACACATACATGCAAAAAACTGCATCACTTTATCTCTTTTCACAATAAAATTTTCTACTTCCTGTAAAAAGTGTTTATAACTTAACAAACTCAGTCTTTGAAAAACTATATGCATGCAAAATTGGCATGCATTCCCAGTACTGAATTAAAGCCTTATGACCTCACTTTGTAAATAAACACATAGAACAGAAATATAACTTAACATTAACTCAATGCAAGTCTAACATATGACAGATAATTTTAGTTGTTAATACAAAACCCACTGCCCTTCACTGAGTGACTTAAGTAACTGGAGAGCTGAAGCCCCCTTTTTGGTGAGGCAGTCCGCGAGTTGTTCTTTTGTCTTGTACCAAAGAACTCGCTCTTTCTCACCCTTTTGTTTTGGAGTTCTTTGATGCTGCTTATCTCAAGACTGAGTCTTTTTTCAGTGACTGACTTTGGTGACTTAAGTGCGTCAGCCAGCGAGTGATGGTCTGTAAAACAGATTATTGGTGTATCATGTTCAACATCACCAGTGGTGAGCTCAGAGAAGAGTGTAGACAGAAAGATGGCATTATCAATTCCATCTGACATTGCCAATGTCTTGCTTGCAAATGTGCTTCGCACAATCCTCTTGACTCTGTTTGACTGCAAAACTACTGTGTCCAAGGTCAAGAATGAACTTTGATCCTCAAGCAGTAGAATGATGATGATGAGGAGGTTGCTGTCAGAGCTGTGTGGTTGCCTGACTAATGAGAACAAAATCTTTTTTGTAGCTGTGTTGTAATGCAATGTAATACAATATATTATATTGTATATTTACAGGTGTTTGATTGTCCATAATATTCTTAGTCAACATTTTTTTGTCACTTATAAAACATTCACCTGTGTATTCACCTCAGACAGTAGAGAATGCAACAAACTCTGACCTTCTATGGGAAATTATTAAAGACTGTCGTGACTCCTTTAGGGTTTCGTGTATAAATGTAGCAGCTAAATCCCTAAAAAGCCTTATTAAAAGAACAGTTGTTGAGAGTATGAGCCATGTAGATAAATGGTCAAATGATGTTAATATGGTGGCGAGGCAGCAGAATGGACAGGAATGAGAAGGAAACTGGCAGTGAATCTGCAATGACCACCATAAATCACCTAATTATGAACATGCACGCTTTAAGTAGCAACATCAGTCACAGCACCACATGCTTTTGTGCCATCTATCTGCCATATTTTCATCTTCTAGTTGTCATCCTGCCTGTGCACTTGCAGAAATTATTGATGTCCCCAACTAAGACGCTCATCCCTCTTCCAGTACACAGTCAGTGTTTTTGTTCCTGATGCTCTAGAAGTTTAGCTCTCCTGGCAACTTAACAAAAAAAAGTCAGAAGATATTTTCCACCAGCCTCTATAAAACACTTTGAGGCTCAAACAGATACCAGGGGAGAGATATTATAATAGGCAATTCAGTAATAGGCTTTAGTATCGATCAACAGAATAATAATTATGAAATAGACCTTTAAGCAGATATACTGGAGTTCAGCCATCTGATGGTGAACTGAAGGCACCCTGAGGGCATTGAGGAGCCAAGAGGCCAAGACCATCACTGACTGAGGCTTAAGACAGGACATTTGTTTGTGTGGTTGCCTCCTACGTACAGCATTTGCTCTAGTCTTGGAGAGATCTCCGTTTCATTATCTTTGGCGACACCTGTGGCGACACGTGTTAATTGCCGCTTTTTTAACCACACTTAGGAATTCCGTCGTCTGGGAATTCTAGTTTAATTTATCCAAAAAGAACATCAGAAAACAGTGAAGAATGCCTTTCATAATGTTCCAGAGCCCATGATGACATCTTCAAACACAGGCATTCCACCTATAGTGATAGGAAATTTAGAGTAATTTTAACATGTTGAAATCTGAAAATACCACATGCTTTGCACCTTGAAAAATGCCTAAAACATTGATCAAAATGGTTGATGGTTGTTCTGTCGATTATCAGGCTGTTTTTTCTCTATTTAGTTGGAAATCTTTGAGCTGTCAGTTGTTGCAAAGAAAAGGCTGATATTTGTTGGAGACTCTTAATAGTAAAACAACAACAACAGGACTTCCTTCAGTGTTAGTAAACCATATCTCAGATAAAGGTAGAGACTGAGCAAATGCCACTGTTTTTTTAATTTTAGAAATGCCTCTTGAAACAATGTCACATGATTACAAGAATAAAAGATTACATTTCTGTCTACATTGAAACATAATGATTAAGACATTCAGTTGAAAACACATTTTTTTATTGACTGCCAACAGAGGAGCTAGTTGCTCCGGGCACAAAAACAGTCAAACTAATTGAGACCAAAGACTGTAGAAGGCAAATCCTGAGGCCAAGACCAAGACAAATCAAGGTCAAAACACACCTGAGACTAAGAAAAGTCTGAGATAATAGATTGTTTGCGTACATACTTTGTCTTTTTAATAATGGCTGCCATTATTGCTGCTAGCCACATGCGTCGTCAGAAGGCAGTGGAGAGATTTTTGTACCGTAGAATTTGATATTAGATCTGAGAGCTTGAGATAGAAGAGCCTCTAGGACCCAGTAGTTATGAAGGAGCCTTCTTCTTTGTTCACAAGTGTCTTCAAGTGATATTTTGTGCCACAGCTTAGTGATTCATGATTTTACTATATTGAATATGATGAAATTGCTCTCAGCCAGAGAAAGTGCCCAGTTTGCTCCTGCACTGTTACATTTCGATGCCTTTTCCCTGAGGTCACAGCAGTGTGGTAAGAAACCAGAAAGCTTAAAGTTCGTCTATGCACCTGACTGCTTCCACCCACTATTTATAAAATATACCTTTAAACTTCTTCATCTGTCTGATAAAGCATGTTAACAATGTTGAAACTGCTCCATATCAGCAGCTGAGATAATTTTTCTCGTAGTTGGATGCAGGCAGACTGTGATCCAGGTGGGGGGAGATAACCTCAGCAGCCCCTTGTGCTTTGGTCGCCCTGTCCCCCCATCTATCAGGCCTCCCTGCAGGGACGCTTCCCCTGTGCTACAGGCAGAGTAAGCATGCTCAGATTAAAGCTTCCCTAGGGAAAACTTTGTCTATTTAGTGACAGACTTGGTCCTTACAAGATAAGTTTTCTAATTAACCTGAGTGGCAGCAATGCACCTGAGATGCAGGGAGAATAAACTGGCTATCTCCTGCTGCTTCTTACCTGCCACATACAACAGGTTCCCTTCTCAACTCTCCTCACTACTCTGCTGTAAGGGAACTTTGCAGCTCTACTTTGGCTAATGCTTTATTTGACAGTCCAAACTCTCAGGTAACAGATATTCAATAATTGTCACTTGACTCTTTCTTGCGTCTTTATACAGACAACCCCAACTTAGTAACCCCAACTCTGACCTTTGCAACACTGTGGTGTAATTAGTTTATTAAGACTGCATGAAGTTTGTTCTTACAGCAACATGAACTCCTCCTAAACCTGGTTGGATGAGCAGTTATTGATTCTTCCCTTTTACTTTCAAAACAATGGCATCCGTTTCTGTATTGTTTCTCCCAAGCTATCCATCCAAATCAGTTATATTTGAGGCAAACATTTGGCCATGCAGTTCACAGAATCCTGCTTTAGTTATATGTGACTCCAAATTTAAATGTTCACATTACGCAAGTTACCCAACTTACTTTTGTATTTTATTACTTTCCCACTAGTTCAACTAGTGCAGTTGACTGCACAGGTTCTTGTAAGTCAACTTAAGAATTAATAAATATTATATTGACATACACTGGCTTCAGAAAGCATTCAGACTGTTTCACTTTTTGCATGCTTTATTGTGTTGTAGATTTAATTTAAATTCAAAGAAATTAACTTCATCAGTCTACACAGTCTACTCACACCTGTGTGTCACACTGCATATCATGACAAAAACTAAGCCATGAAGTCCAAGGAACTCTCTGTAGACCTCTGTGATAAAACTGTGGCAAGACATGGATCAGGCCAAATGCATAAAACCATGTCTAAGGTAGCCAAACACAGAGAGGTCTTTTAAAGGGGACCTTTTATGCTCTTCCAGAGTTTTCCCTTACTTATGGTGTGTTATATTGGTTTTTGTGCATGTACATGGTCTACAGAGTCATAAGGATCAAAGTTTACATCAAAGGGAGAAACTCTGTCAGGGTAAAAACACAATTTACTCCTTTGTATGAAACGTCTTGTTGGGGCTCCAGACATTACTTCCTGGTCCTTTTGACATCAATACTTCTCTTGGTGCTGCCCACCTGCAAGCTTGGCACGTCCCCACACAAGGCCCAGCACATAACTACTTATAATAAAGACTTTTCTTAAATATTTCTAGCCATGGCGAAAAGACACATGTTTTGAATTGCCTGGAGAAATCAACTTCATTTTTCCACGGTTCTCCACTGCTCCAAACATTATAGTGCAAACTGAACTTCAAGGAGGACTGCTTCAGAAACTACGTTAGACATTTCATTTTCACAACGGTTATTTCTGTAGTTCACACTTAATGTAATTCACACTTAATGTGGCCGAACAGGGGACTCACAGCCTGTCAGTCTGCATTGTTATTGTGGTTCTGTGATGTTAATCATGTTACCACGACCTGATCACGTTAGTAAGAAGCAGCAGCAAAGATAAATGCTTAAACGTTTGTCGGTATTGACATGTTATATCTTGTTAGCTTGGATTAATTATCCATAATTTAACCGCTGAGTTCATTTTTCATTAACTATGCGCACAAATGTTTAATTAATTCAGATTTACCGGCATGTAAACGAGCAGGAGGTGAAGCCGTGGAGACTCTACCTGTTGACCGTCTGTCTGTTCCTCCATTCTTTATATTACTTTAGTCCGGAAGTGTCCACACATAAAAAATCAAAAGGGTTTCTCAGAAAAGTATTCAAAGTTATGAATACTGTCATCTGAAGTCAAGCAGACTGTCCAGCATCTTGATTCACAGTGCTCTTCATATTTCTCCCTCCTTCCTGCTGCAGGACAGTGGGTATGCTTGTTTTTCTGCTCCAGTCCAGCTCGTGAAGGTGGATTGGGTCTGTCACCTTCTGGTTCAGGATCGGACTCTTGCTCAAAGCGATAAGGCAGAACAGAAGCCGCCACAACCGTTTGTTTACACAAGACATGCGGAATGTGACATTGCCATGGTAGTTGCCTTCAGAGGGAGGAGCGGAGCCTTAAAGAGCCCTGAGCTCTAACAGAGTGTTTCAGACAGAGGATGAAGCGAGTACAGTATAAAATGTACAGAAAAGAAAAATGTCTTTTCAGAACATTAAAGCATGTAAAACTGTTTTAGTCGACACCAAGAATGAAATGATGAACACTAAAAATGGCCATAATAGGTGCTCTTTAAGAAAAACAATGAAGTCACATCTAAAGGAAAGTTAAAGCTAACAGGAAGCACCTGGCCCTAGTTTGGAGAGCCACAGCAAGTCATTATGGGTTATTGAGTGTAGGTTGATGGGAAAAATTGCAATTTATCCATTTGCAGTTAAATTTACTAATTAAAAGGAAAAGCATTTAGGAAAAACCAATATAAAGTGTCTTAGTAGGGTGTTGGAGGGTAATCCATTCTTCATAAAGATATTCCCTCATTTAGATTAGATTAGATTAGATTAGATTAACTTTATTAATCCCACAACTGGGAAATTCATTTACCACAGCAGATTTGGTGTTTAGATGATGGTGGTGGAGAGCACTGTCTAACATATTGGTCCAACCTCTCCCATAAGTTTTCAATTGGGTTTAGATCAGGTGACTGTGACCAGCATGTGATTCTCACATCATTTCATATTCATCAACCCATTCAGTGACCCCTGTGTTCTGTGTGGAAGTATCTGCATTTTCTGTTTCTCCTCTCATCAAAGTGAACAAACAATCAGGCTACAACGGTGGGGATGAATGGGATTTTATTTTAACCTACCCAGAGCACTGAGAAATGACGCTTAAAAAAGTCAACAGCAACTTGTCATTCCAGAAACAGTGTTGTTGTTACTCTACAGGCCGTACAATGACAGTTGTCATTAGAAATCTATTCTATAAAATAAAAATATTCATATGAAAACGTTTAACTTTTAGTAACTTTGGAATAACCCACTGGCCATGCTGTCCACACTACCAGTGCCACTGAAAGACAAGCTGCTGTTCATGCCTGTTACATGAAAATATTGATGAAACATTTCCCCTATTTTTGTTTTGGTAGAAACTAAATACTCCAGCTGTTCTGAAAGCCCCAAAAGAGAGGAAGCCTAGCAAGAAGGAGGGAGGAACCCCAGGCAAGTCATCCAGCCTGCCAGCAATCCTCTACAGGTGAACATACAGTGTATAGAGAGATGACGATCAAATGATAAAGTAATGATGATGCAGCACTGAAACAAATATTTTTTTTTCATTTTGTCCTTCCTGCTAGAGTTCCAAAATAATGACTAATAATGTCAAAAAACAGCATGTTCTCACACATGATTTCACCTGATTTGTTCCTGCAGCTGTGGCATCTGTAAGAAGAACCAGGACCAACATCTGCTGGTGTTGTGTGACACCTGCAAACTGTACTACCACCTGGGCTGCCTGGAGCCACCACTAACACGCATGCCTAAGAAGACTAAGAACAGCTACTGGTGAGAAACATGGGAAAACAAGTGGAATGGGAGGAGATGGAGATGTGCATGGGGAATATGTTTGTTTAAGGATTTGTGAAGAAATACATGTGAAATAACACTGTCTGTAGACTTTGTGACCTTAAAGCTGTCCACATAAAACGATGTAGTAATGACGATGAAGTAAAGTTTTCTTAGTTCTGTATATTTGGAATCATACAGGCCAGAAAACCACTGTAAGCTTGAGGTAACAACAGCATAAGCAGGCTGTGCAGGGAGCCATTAGTGAAGGTGTTAGGGAAAATTCTTATCATCGGTGGTGAGGAAAGAGCGCTGGAGTCCAGAATCTCTTATGCTTAAAGCTTGAACGAGGAGAAAGGAGGATTCATCAATACAGGCTTCTGTGCATGATGCATGTCACCTCAAATCTCAAGCAGAAACCCCTGGGAATAGTCTTTATACACAGAGAGATTACTATAGATAGCTTACACTCCATAATTGGTCAAATATCTAGAAGAAGAGGGATTTGTGAATAAACTATTGGTTCATTAACCATAAACAAGGAAACAAGACTATATACGCACAAGTGCTGATTCTTAGAACACCCAGCCACTTGTTACTGACCATCCAAGGTCTGCTGTTATCAATCGTGGCACCAACAGTATCAGCAAACCAACAGCTGTGTCTGGAGGAGCAGCCTGAGCGTGTGCCTGTAAGATTTAATGCAGTAGCTGTGGCACAGAGATCTAAGGCCTCACACTGACCTTTCACTGTGAGTCAGTCATTCATTAGGTTGACAAGAGAAAATTCCCTCAGAGAAGGTTGAACAGTTTAAGATTCCTCAGAAGGAACACTTGCATATCAGTGTTGGTCCTGACTGTCTGTGGTCACGTTCTCATGAACACAATATCTCAGTAATGCTTCGAGGAAATGTCTTCAAATTAGGTTTAAATGTTCACCTGGACTGTAGGATGAAATTATTAGATTTTGGTGCTCAAAGGTCAAAGATCAAGGTCATTGTGACCTCACAAAACATATTGGTCTTATAAACACCTTCAGGGAGACTCAAAAGATTAGATTTTGGTGGTCAAAGGTCAAGGTCGTTGTGATCTCATAAAATACGTTTTTGGCCGAAACTGAAGAATTCATACAGTAATTATGCCCCTATGTCTCATTCCCCTCTCTGGTGCCTCTTTCCAGTTGAAATGAAGAAGAGATGATGCCATTGGTAAGCACAGAGGCCTTGAGATGAGTGTATATTAAACTAATCCAATCAATTAACTTTTTGCTAAACCAAAACATTCCAGTGTTGAGGGCATATGTTGCCACTCCACCATGTTGAATGTCTGTTTGGCGTGCAAAGAGATGGCAGGCATAGGAGAGGTGTTATCCTGAGTAGCCAGATGGTTAGCTACAATTATAGATAAAATCTTCCTGTTGCAGGAGGAATAAGCTATTAATGGCCTCAGATCAAGAAGGAGGAAGGTTTCCCTTCTCCAGGGCTTCATTACAAGTCTCTCGGAGTAATGGTACTAGTTCCTCAGAGTAAACCTTGTAAAACTTGGCTGTGGAGCAATCTAACCCTGGTGCTTATTTGAAGGTATTTGTTTGATAAGGATAGTCACAGTAGTAATGGGTGAGTCAAGATGTTTGAGCGGGTCCTCTGACAACTGTGGACAATTGAGATTTGACAGAAAGAAAGTAATGTCTTTTTTGTCCACCTCTCACTCAGAGGTGTGAAGTTGTACATAAAGCTCCATTTATCTCCTTATAGGAGATAAATCTTCCCTATAGGAATAGTGCTTTACGTCTTTGTGTTTATTGTATTTTGCTTGTAGTCTACCTCTCCCTTTTTGGGAGACATATTTTTTTTTCTTTTTTTAAAGCTTGACTCTGTATGTTTGATCTGTGTTTCAAGCTCCTGCAGTTTAACATAGTTTTCCTTCTTCTTAAATGAAGAGTATTGAATTATGTGAACTCTGAAATAGGCTTTTAAAGCCTCCCAAGTTACTTCTGCTGATGGAGCTGTTGGTAAGTTGGTCTCATCTATTTGAATTTTCTGTTCATGAAAAGAAAGAGAAAAGAAAAGAAAACAACTTCACTTGTCCATACACAAACATCCAGTAATGATCTTCTCATGCTTCCACCCTGTGAAGGCTCTGTAGAATCCTCAGTTAGAAATACAAGGGTGGTGCTAGACCAGCAGGAACATAAAAAGGAACAGGAGTAACTCCTCATCTTCAAGGGTGGTGATACTAAGGTTTAAAAACACAGTTAATCCAAAGTGCAAATCTCTAGTGCTTCAATTGGGAATTACACAACATTGTCTATAGCAGGGTTTCTTTTAAACAAGTAAATTGTTTTTTCTAATCCACTAGATAGCAGGCCAGAACATAATCAAAGGCTAATAAAAGAAATTGATTGATAAAATGCAACTGGAATTTACTTTGTTACTGTTCACATATTTAACGCTGTGGCCCACAGTCACAGATAGGGATGGCGATCTGGTAAAAAGATCATATGACAATCGTTTTGGGTAGAATCACAATCCATGATCTTGTTCATCACCTGCATTCTGTTTTCGCTCTGATTTTATTCTGAAAGCCGTGACCAGAACTTGTGATTCTTTTGGATGTTTGTCTGCCTGCCACTGCTCTTCACCCACAACGCTGTCTTCTGTTTACACAATGTGATACAACCAATCTTGCTTTTTGCTTAGTTCATATGGAGTAATCATTTGTAAAGTGCTGTTATTTATTTATGAGGTGCTATATGTAAGTGTTTTAATTTGAAAGTTCAGTCGCTGCTGACTAGCTAGCCCTGTCTACCCCTGCCTCGGGTTGTCCTGCCTGCAGCAGGTCTCTGGTCCGTGGGCAGTCTCTTAACTCCACCCTCTCGGACTGCAGCTGGTGACGGTGGTTCTTGTTCTGCTCAGGTGGTGAACTGGTTCATATGGAGCTACAACAAACTCACTGAGGCTGCAGAGCAGAACAAGGACTGCTGTCTCCAGCTGCAGTTAGCTAGCAGGCTAGCTGTTAAACAGTTAACATGGTCTGGTGATTGAACATTTAAAATTAAATATCTAAATTTAGAAACTTAACTTTAATGATGCGATCTGTATGATTCATCTGAAAAGTAGATTATTTGCCAAAGTAAGCTTGTCCACCCACAGTCATATATTATAGGTTGGACTGATTTACTGAACTTGTGTTATTTTTGTCATATTACACATCATATGTCCACTCCGTCAGAGGTTTGTCAAGCAAGCTACACAACCTTTGGAACTTCCTTTCAGAATGTTTAGAATAAAAGCTCACAATAGCTTGAAATAAAGCATTGCTGCAAAAGAAACCATAACTTTCTCGCACTTTTATTTTCTAAGCAAAATCGCTAAAGAGGAAGTGATTCTGTGGGTAACTGTTGCTGCTCAGATGGAGATCTGTTTTAGCAACAGAGATGTCATTGTGTGAATATGAACAGGAATTGCTTTTCATATTCATTCTTCATATTCATTCATATGAGCAGAATTTGTTTATTCATATTATTGGTGACATTTGAGCCTGGTTGGTGGCAGCAGGATTATCACATGGTGGATGGGGAGATGGTGGAAATGTCACAGTCTCGACTCTCAACTACTGTAGTTCCTTATTTAGAGAGGAGATCTTGTGGTGAAAAAGGACAAAGCCTTTTCTCTTTCTCTTGTAAACTGAATAAATGTGGAGGTGTATCTGGTGTTACATTTCAGGATGTGTTTGTGGGTGTATGCTACAGTCTGTCTGAGTGGAGTAATTGATTTGAAATTAGAATAAAACTGGACACCATCTTGAGGTGAGGCAAGGTGAAAAAAAAAAACCAGCCACACTGTCGCACTTGATAATGAGCATGGAGCTCTTTTGCTTTATTGGGTGAAAATTAAACCATTTGAATCATAAAGGTGTGAGGGTGCAGAGCCATAACTAATTACACAATTGTGCATGTACAGAGACAAAACAAACAAACAGAGAGGAGAGAAGCTGAATTTAAGGGCAGTGCCTTTCCCAGGTGTAATTTGACTTGATGCCAGTGTTAACTGATAGGGCTGTGTATCGTCTTGTCCAAATGGTGAAACAATTCCAGGGACTGAGGATGTTTATCTCTATCCCTAACCCTTTTTCTCTTCACCTTGTGGCTGAAATGTTCATTCAAAGTATACTGCTGGAGGTAGAGCGGGTCGTTCACTAATCAGAAGGTCGGTGGTTTGATTTCAACCAAATACCTACCAGCTCTATCGGAGTATTATGCACTTGGAATGGCACAGTCTTGTGGATTGAAGCCATGACCCCTCTAGAGTGAGAAGAAAAACATGATGCCTTCCATTCCTGATTTGTACCATCAGAAGTTGCTCTAAATTAATGAATCTCTTGGATAAAAGTCATAAAGACTCAAGCTGCTAATCCTAGTAATAACCTGTTATAACTTTATCATTTAAATCATCCCCCTTACATACCAAGAGGTGAATTTTACTTTCTTATTTGAAGTAATTAGACCAGACTGTACAGCATATTATCAGCTCTATTCCACAAATACACCTATTGCTTCGTTGTGGGAGTCACCTTATGCCGTTGTATGGAGTTATATTGTGAGGATAATAGACAAACATAAAATAACAAAATACTGCCATATCCAAGTCCCTTAGCTGTCATCCTGAACAGGACAGCCTTTCAAATAAAGAGGTGTAAATATTACCCTTTGCATGTAGGTTCACTAGTTAACAGTCCAAACTGTCTAATATCTTGCATTGTGTAGTAGCGGTAGTCTTCATATTTCCAGGTGTGTCCCCCAACAAACTTCTCAGCATCTGCTGGGGATTCAAGCTCACAAATTTTTGTCCATCAATTGTCAAATGAGGCTTTGCTAGGTACTCTATTCCAAGGCTAATGTTCAGGGTTCCCAGTTGTTGTTATACCCCGTTGAAATGCCTCCTCTGCCAGTGTAGCTCTGCCAATAAGTCTGGGGAAATCCTGACCTCTTGCTCACTGTACAGCCTTTGGCTGTGGCTGCTCACATTACTCTGACTTTATCTTGCAAGTTCAAAAACTCCATAATGAGGACTCTTGGGGGATGGTGGGGGATGTACGGTTTGATTGTGCCTTACCAGGGAGCTTGTGTGTTCTCTCGATGACGGTCAGTGTAGGAAAGGTTGCAGTGCCTACTACTTAAGGTAGCCATTTCACTAGGAAAGTGATTGCATCTGTCTTTTCCACTTTTTTTCGAAAGTTAACCAGTTGGCTAAGTTGGATCTCCAAAAGTGTTTTTTGAGCTTGTCACGTTTGTGTGCAAGGAGAGCCACTTGTTTAACTAGCACTTTAGTGTTTTTTTTTAATCTGAGTTAACTGTGTCCTCAGCCTCACACATTACATTCAGGACTGAACTGAACTGTGTCCAGTTTTTGAATAAAATCCAAGGTTTGGGTCGTTTCAGCCAATGCTCCCTCTGACTGGAGGGCAGTGCTAACATTACCTGTTGAGCTAGCCTGGCTGATATCATTTCACTTATCGTCCTCCTCAACTGGGAGAGAGTCAGCTTTATTATTGTTCTTTGCCTTTTGCGGCAACATATTACTAATGTTACTGATTAAGATTTTTTGAGAATTTAAAATGCCAATACACATTCTTTTATGTGCTTATAACCCAAAATGACAGAAATATCAAGGGTAACAAAAAATGTAGACTAATGATGATTTACAATTAGTATTAGAGAAGAAAGGCAGGGAGAGAGGATGACATGCAGCTAAGTGCCATGGGTCAGACTCGAACCCACACCACTGCGATTTGGATTAAGCTTTAATGACATGCGTTCTACCAGGTAAACCACCGGAGCACTGTACCGCTGTCTTGTGCATTTTTTCACAGCACATAGAGCTTGTCAGTCTATTGCCAATTGATAAACTTCTCCAATCCACTTGTAAGCTACAACTGGTTTGGTTTTACTTGACATTACAGTATTCACAGCACTTTGAGGACATAACTTGAATGAAAATATGGGACAAATTGCATCCCGTACTGATTCAATACAGGACAACATGCCCCATGACCTTAGGACTTAGACATAAGGTAGCCTTAGAATGCAGTCTAATCCAGTCGTCCCCAACTGCCATGGACTGGTGCTGCAGTATATTCGCTACCAGGCTGCACAGAAAGGACGAATCAATAAAAAAATTTTATTGATAAATCCAACAGTTGCCTGATAATAGGCTATCTAGGGCTGCCGCGAGTAGTTGCTATGTGGCCAGTCACTACTAACGGCCATATATTTATTTTCTGTTTATCATTTGTGGTTGCACTGCTTCTGGTTGCTGGTTTTGAGCAAGGTGCTTTATTTCTACCTACTGAAATCAGAGTTATCAAATTTCATGGCAATCCATTTGTCAAGATATTTTAGTCTGGACCCTAAGTAGTGGACTCACATTGCCATTCCAAGAACCATTCAGCTAGCATGGCTAAAATTATCATCATCTCTCTGGCATCAACAAATAATGACATTATAAGGTTCATAAAGTTTGTGGTTACTGTTGTGTCGGATTGCATTACAAGTATTGCTTTCATTATGTGCTCCTGCTGTATATTATCTACTGTCTACTATCTATACATAATCACTGATGAGGACTGATAGAAGAATCAGACCTTGACTTCCATACTTCTTCATCAGGCTTATTGATTTACACAGTGTTGAAAAAAACACCTTGAGGTATAGAATAGTTTAATATTTTGGGAAATAGGCCTGTATGCATGCATGCAAGTGAGAGAAGATGATTGATATCACTTTTATGTCTCTGCGTTACATACAGAGCTGGAGTCAGGATGTTGCTAGTCAAACTTAGCATAAAAACAGCTTGCCTGGCTCTGTCCAAAATTCAGATAGGTCACCAATAATGCAGTAGATGACTCTGTGCCCTTTTAAGGACAAACACTATCTAAGGATAGTACTGGCTAATAATCAACAACATTTAGAATTTACAAAAACAGTTCTGTCAGAAAGAAGTGAAACATATTGAGTTTGTTTTTTTCATTCAGCCCTCTTGATCAGAACAAGCTGTGAAAGTCTGTCTCTTTTTTTTTTTTTTAACAGTACAGACTAAGGATTTGCGCCTGTGATAATAAAATCAATGCAGTTTGGTGAGAGGAGCTCTCTTTCTTCTCCTCAGGCAATGCTCCGAGTGCGACCAGGCCAGCAGCGATGAGGCCGATATCGCCATGGAGACACTACCTGATGGCACCAAGAGGTCCAGGAGGCAGATCAAAGGACCAATCAAATTCATCCCACAGGAGATGTCGCCAGAGCCCAAGAAACATCAAGTGAGAGGCACGGTGTGTATTCACACTGTTCAGTAGAAATTTTTTACAACTAAAAAGAATGAAAAGTTTTGTATGCCCACCTCATCCTCCACACAATTAGAGTGTAACTGTTGGCTAATTGATCTGTATTGATTACAAATAATTAACTTCAATTCTCATTAGTGTCAAGCTCTTCTTAAGGTTATCTCAAAGTTGCACAAGGTGATAGTGTGTTTCCCTGAGCACAAAACAAAACACGTGGATTCACTCTTGGTGGAACAGAGACAGGATGCATCCACTCAAATTGAAAAAAAAAACAATTTCAACTAGAATGAAAAAATAGAACTTTGAAGTGATACAACATTTCATTTGATGAAAGACAAGAGACAAGAGTAGGAAGGAATCAACCTGGTGGGAAATAACTGAAACAAATACACTTTTTTACCTAGAGATAAGTTGTCTGTGCTCCTAAACCTCTACAGAAGTCAAATAGTTTTAAAGGCTCATAAAAAATGAGAAAAGGCCACCTGCTCAGTCATGTAAACAAAGCATCAGGCCCCCACAGACTGAAAGCACTAATGCCTTCATGATGATATGCAGTTTCTTCAGTTGGTTTTATGAAGAGATTTCTGCATTTGACAGCCATAAGATAAAACCTCTAGAAGACTGAGAAAGAGGACTTGGCACTGACTCAGTTAAATGCCAGTCCAAACTTCTTAAGAAGTCAAAGGATATGTTTACAATTTTTCAAGTGTGTCAGGATGACACAGCCACTCTTATCACTGAATATACTGTATATTTCAGCTAACTATAATTTAATTCTTCCTAGTCTAAAGAAACATTTCAGATATCCACACCTTCATACTTGCCAGGACAAATGAAGTCATTTTGCCTTTCACGTGTATGGTGCTTTCACTCTCAGATATCCACAGTTGCATGTTTGATATTCCAGAACCAAACATGCAAAATCCACAATCCATATTAACTTCCATTTCAGATAGCTACAATCCAGTTGTTACTAGTCATGTGTCCTACTTGTCAACAGGTATTATTTGTGGATATCAGCAATTGCATTGTGTCTAGTCATAATTCTACATGAAGGTATGTGAGATTGCATTTTTACTGACCATAAATACAGTTGCGGATATCCATTTTTACTAGTCGCAATGTATTTTAGATATTCAAAATTAAATAATGGATATGCGGACTTTGTTTTTTATTTTTGATAGCTGAAATTAGTAACAATTCGATTGTGGATATCTGAAATCTGAAAAAAAGTTTTTCTTAGTAAGAAGTCTGTTGTGTTTTTCAAACATGAAACTGTGGATATCTGAAACTAGAAGCCCAATACACATGAATGACAAATGTGACATCATCTGTCTGAGGAAGAATGATGTTGTGGATGTCTGAAATGTTGCCTTAGACTAGGAAGAATTGAATTACAGATGTCTGAAATACAAATCCAGTATAGTAATTAAATCTTAAATCAGCTTGCCATAGGTGTCCATGTAAACATTGAAACAGGATTTGCCTGTTGAAATCATTCCTGCTGTTTATAAAAGCCATTTAAAGATCCTTTCCTGATGCACTGATGACAAAAATCGAGAAAAGTTTTCCTTTATCTGATGGAAATATGAGTGGAAAGTTACAGTCTTTTTAGTACAAAGTTCTCTCTTTGTATTTTTTTATTCATGAACAATGTTTTAATGTTGAGTTGCAGAAGTAAAGGCAGTAATAATGTAATAAGTCAGCTGGAGAGAAAAGCTCATTCCTGGTCAGCTGACCAATAACTATGTGAAATTGGTGCAAATGTTGGATAGTCGGTTTCAGGAAAATCCAACTTTCTCACAAGCTTTTTGATCATCTGACAGGCAGCACTGATGGAGTGTACTAGCAGCTTAACACTTACACCACCTACAGGGAACATGTTTTATCACCTATATTAGCACCAACTACTTGAAAACAATAAATAAAATGAGAACTTAATTATTTCCCATTATAGCAGTTATAAACAGTTTTTTTTAAACACAGGTAAACCTGCCAGGCAATTGACTCTGTTCACACTGTCAGACAGTTTGCCTTTCTGGGGACGCAGACACACAAGTGCAGGGAGCAACTTCATCATACACACACACACACACACACACACACACACACACACACAACTAGCTGCTGTGCAGACTGGTAAAATGGATCTGTTGTGTCTCAACCCTGGGTTGGTGCTTCTGTTAGTGTCATTGGCTCCACGTGAAAACCCTGCGGTCAGTGATTGTGTCTTTTTTAAAACTTATTTTGGGGCCTCAGCTCAGTCTCAGAGGAAGGTGTAGCTGCAGTGTTTCTTCTTTTCTGTAATCCTAATGAAGCTATAAGAGTAGATCATTAAGACCAGTGACAGAAGCAGGTGTTCTTGGGATTTTGAAAGTCATCTCTGAGTTTTTTCATTGTCCATAAAAGACTGACAGCATGTGGACTTTGTCAGTTTGTGGTATAACATTTTGTGTCAGTTGTAAGAGGGAACAGAGCTCTTCTCCAACCCTCACTGGTTCCTACTTACCGCTTCCATCCATGTTCTGATCTTGCGATACTGAGCTGCCTCAAGAAACCCTCCAGATTGAAGTCTGACAGCTTGGTGGCGAGGGAGGGGGGAGTGGAGTTATCTTTAACTTCTCTTTTGTTTTTCCACTGTCAATGTGTGACCCACTGCCTTTCACCTGGTACTAGAGGGAGCTCTCCTCTTCAGACTGAATACTCACAGTAGAGCCAGTGCCACTGAAGCAACTCCTGTCCACACTCTCTGTCACAAATAGAGAAATTAACAAAGAAAAGGAGGAGTCACAGCCACTTCCCAAACTCTGCGCTCTATCTGTCTTAGAGGGGACATAGCAGAATGTTGGAGCACAGTGGCAGTCTGGGTTAATGTGTTTTTCTGTTCAGGTTTGGAAACCCGAGGTCCAGACATGTGCTGAGGACTCTGCTGGAGCTCTCAGGGATTAAGCAGCTTCCTGTTATTTTTTTTTTGGAGCCACAGCCACTCAGGCGCAGCACTTCAGTGCAGCATTTATCTTCAAATGCAAGGCGTGCAATGGCAGGCGCTAAAAGGGCCCTGCTTTGCATTTTTAATGCTTTTACCAGGGCACCCAAGTGCTGGCACTTCTCTAAAGCCATGTTTCAATTTATCAGGACTGGCTAATCGACCTCCTGCTGGCCTCCAAGGCTGCGCTGTAGGTGTGTGTGTGTGTGTGTGTCAGGCAGTTTGTGAGTGTGTATTTGTCTGAGCACACACATGCATACACACACACACTAATATATACACACAGACACATTTGGCCAAAAGGGCTAACATGGCCCACTGCCACCTTGATGAAGATGAGGGTTTTGTTGCTGTTATTCATGGCCTGTAGTGGGTACAGCCCTCTGGAGTAAAACCCTTAAAATCAACCTGTGAGCTGAATTTTATTTAGCATGTACGTAATGTCGCAGCTGTAAAATTAACGCTCTGTAGCACGTTCTGTCAGGTTTTACGCAGCGCTGCTAAAGATAGCAAGACTGAGTTTCACTCAAGGACAGTTCATTAACACACATTTGTTCTTCAATGTGGGAGATGTAAAAGAAACACAACCTGCTTTTTTGGAACTCTATCATCAATCAGTTTTAATTCTAACCATTTCTCACTGTCAGCAGGTTTTATTTCCCTCCCTGATGCTCCTCATGCATGAATTAATCAATGCACTAATTAAGTGAAGGGTGTTTGTTTAAGCACAAGTAGATCATTCTGAAAATGAAAGAAGTTTAAACAGAAATGCATCTTTTTAATGATAATAACAAAATAGTCTTGTTTGGAACATGTTTACACACCTAAAAGTTGTGTTTGACATTGACCTGTTGTGCAGACAGGGACTTGTGTCTTACTATTAAAAAAACGTGGCATAAATGAATCCTGTCAGAGCTGTAAACCTGCTATAAACCTGTCAGATGAAGCTGCCACTATCACCATTAGTCAATCATTATTTTTCAAACTTTTTCAGGCTGTTTGCAATAACACTTTCAACAGAGAAGGACTTCATAGTGTTCACTGATTCATATTTCATATCATAATCTGTTTATCTTATGAACAATTAAAGGCTCCTTTTACAGCTTTGACTGTTGGATCCTTTGCAAATAGTTGTGCTTGTTGGTTTTTCAGTTTGTTTAACTCTTGGAGCCCAGTTAATGCAGTTTGTGTCTGACAACTTGTCGTCATACACTACAAATATTGCTGGTTTTCTAGTGATAGCAATATCTCCATGGTGTCCATGGTAAGGTGAGCAGATTTCTGAAATGAAAACCGGGGACATTTCCAGTTCAGTGGTTCATTATCATTAAAATGTCCAATGATTTTTTATTCTTTCCATTGTGTTTTTAATTCACAGTTAAAAACATTTCCATTTCATTTCTGGGGACAGCTTCAGCCGGGGACAGGCCAGCCAAAACGGGGATTGTCCCTGGAAAATGGGGACGTCTGGTCAACCTTGTCCATCCCTGTCACTGATAAAGGTCCACTTAGAAATCATACAACCGGATCTTACCTCGTTATCATCAAATCTATATGGTTCTTATTCACACACTGACACTGTCTCCTGTCAATACAGATTTTTGCTTTATGACTGTTAAATTATGTGTAAAAAAAAAAAAAAAAAAAAAAAACTATAAATTTCTCAATAGTATACATTTCAAGCCCAACTAATACATGTAGTGACAGAGCCATAAGCCTGTAAATAAAGGAAAAAATAGGTTCAGAGGGTTTAAGGTAACTTTCACTACAAAGATGGTGGCACCTATTCCGTTTACAGCAGTTACCTGTTTGGCAAATTGTGGTTTTTGAGAGTTACAGATCACAGTTCTTCAGTATGATATTCAAGATATTTAAGATGGGGAAAAAAAGTTATTTAAAGATGATGAAAGGTTTTTTTTTAGGATTATTTTTATTGTCAAGAAATTTTAATCATTTCAACTATAATTAATTTTGTTAATCAATGATAGTTGTAAAAGTAGAAGGCAATAAATCCACTTAAAAACCCTGTATTCATTTGTGGCAGTGATATAGCAATTTTCTAACATTAAAAAGAATTAGGGAAAATTTAAGTGGGAATTTAAGGTTCAAGAGGCTAACTGAAGGTGGTAATAAAATGCTCCTGCTAATGGGACATGATTTACTGTTGCCGCAACCCACCACAGTGCTAACATTAAAACTGCCCATAAGAACATATGCCATTAATCATTTGGAAATTATGAGAATTAAGTTAATATATCTAGTTACTACCACTTCCTATGCTCTGTTAATTTCTCTAATCCTGTGTGAAATGATTCATGCTTGTTAAAGATGCACTGATGTACTTAATTAAAAGATTGATTTTGCGTCGTACTTATAAACTGCCTGCAGTTTTAATTTCCTCACCTGAGCAGAGCCTGAGATTAGCTGTGCAGTGTGGCTGAGCGCCTTTCAGCTGAGCCAGCTACTGAACTACTCTCTGCTCTCTCTGGTCTTATAGATTACTTTAACAGACACCACTTTAATGCAGAAATTATTAAATAATGTCAGGCCTTTTGTTTGGTGCTGCATTTGCAGGAGAAATGGCGAAGGTCTGAAGGAGCCAACTGGCAGCATTCTTGCAGTTAGCATTCTTAATGATAAGTGCTCCATCTGGCAAGTGGTGGCGAGCCAAAGGCGACAGATGGAATTGTTTTCACAGTCTGTTTAAATATGTTGTCGATTTTTCCACCCCTTTTAAACCCTCCTTAGCAGCTCCAACACGTGCTAGCTAGCAGCAAGAAGGAGATGTTTGATTTTTATTTCCTTTCATGCTTTGTTCAAGCTCTTGTGAGTAAAAGGGACACTTTAGACCTGTAGTAGATGGAAGTGTTGGTAGACATCCATCCAGTGCTGTTTAGCTTGCACAGGAAGAATGTGATTGATGGTCTGGCATGTTCAGAAGTCATATTTACTGCCACAACATGACCAGCTGTGTAAGTGGATAGATTGTAACGCTGCGAGTCTGGCTGTGTTCATGTGTTGAAATTAGGAGATTAGTGGTTACAACACAGAGAGGGCTCTGAATCGATCAGTTCGGCTCCCTCTCAACCACAATATCTTTACAGGCTTTTGGTTGTACAATCACATTTCTTGTGAACATCAACTTTTTCCTTTTACTAATTGAGTGGAATGTGTCCAACTATCCAAAGGTGTAGGTTTGGTTTCAGAAGTGGGGAGCCAGTGATGTCAAAAGGTTTTTCAATCCAAAAATCATATGTTATGTCTGCATATGTGTGTATATATACGCACACACTATACAGTATATTTATACATGTTATGTTGCAGCCTGATGCTAAAATATTTTAAAATGAATATTTTCCCTCATCAATCATAGATATATACCCAATAATCAGAAAACAAAAACAGAATTTTAGGTATTAGAAAGAAAAAAATGAAATTTCACATTGACATAAGTATTGAGATATTTTGCTGTGACTCTTGAAATTGAGCTCAGGTTCCTCCATTTCTCTTGATCCTCTCTGAGATGTTTTTGCACCTTGACTGGAGTCCACCGGTGGTAAACTCAGCTGATTGGACACACACCTGTCTAGCTAAGGTCTCACAGCTGCCAATGCAGATCAGAAAAGAAACCATGAGGAGGAAGGACCATTTGTTTGGTACCATTGTGTCTCTGCATAGACACAATGGTGTCTATGCCTGTGCTCACTGGATGATTCTGACATCCTGCACTGTAGTTAAAGACACTGCAGTGAAAACAAGAGATAATATGATAAAATGAAATGATAAAATAATGTAGGATAAACAGTGCAGCTTTGCAGAATGGGAGTCTTGTTTGATGTTATAAATTTGAGCAATACATACATACAGACATAAAAGAGGATCAAACAATGAAGTCTGGAAGGATGGAACAGCTCTTGCAGTATGAGTCAATTATTGTTATGATTTTAACTTCAAGTTGGATAACACCTGCTCCAGCAGTGCATACAGAAAGCTTTCAAACACCTTCCCTTTTGTCACATGTTGATATGTTGCAGCCTGATGATAGAATCTTTTAAATGAATTCTTCCCTCATCAATCTACACTCGGTACCCATTAATGATGTTATTCAGACAAGTATTCAGACACTTTGCTATGACACTAGGTTCCTCTGTATCCTCTGACACTAAGACTGTGTCAAGGCTCAAAAACATTTGTGGTCTCCATCATTCTGACATGAAGAAGTCTGGCACATCCAGCACTCTTCTTAGAGCTTGACGCCTGGCAAAACTGAGCAATAAAGGGAAAAGCGCCTTGGTAACAGAGGTGACAGAGATCCTGTGTGGAGAAACTTCCAGAAGAACAAGCATCACTGCAGCTCTCCACTGATCTGGGCTTTATGTCAGAGAGTCCATATAAAGCTTCTCCTCAGTTACAGTTTGTAAAAAAGCAGCTAAAGGCCTCAGAGACTGAGAGAAACCAGATTCTCTGGTTTGATGAAACCAAGACCGAACTGTTTGAGTTCAGTTCTAAACATCATGTCTGGAAGAAACAAGGCACCGTTCATCACCTGCCCAACACCATCCCAACGGTTAAGCATGGTGGAGGCTGCATCAGACTGTGGGGGGACAGGGAGACTGGTCAGGACTGAGGGAAAGATGAACAGAGTAAAGTACAGAGCGATCCTTAATGAAAACCAGGTCCAGGTCCATCTGTCTTCAGAGTCATGAATGATGGCTCATGTCTTTGCCAATGTCAGAATGATATTTGGCCTGTTTTCCCATTAATATATTAACTTTTATATTTGTAGTATTGAATTAATGTCAAATTTAATTTGCCCTGCCATAGTTTCACATTGGCTCCCCCGCATATAACACACACGCACATACCACACACTCACCCCAACCAGCTGACTGTCATTTAGGTGTGTAGATGCTGTGCTGTGGTTAAACAGAGGGGAAGAGATCGATAGACAGACAGGTCATTTAGTTCAGTTTCGTAGCTGCCGCTTGTTTTTCGTGGTTGTAAACAGAACTTTCAGTCCTAACAGGGAAGGGATAGTCCACGAGAGATAGAGAGCCATAAACATCTGTTTCTCTGCCTCTCCCTGCTGATTTTGAGTGAATAGGGTAAATGCTCTGGTTATTGAATATGAGTGAAAATCCAGGAGATCGGCAGTTTGAGAAACTCTCAAACCAGCATCTGACTCCAACAATCATGTCACAGTCAAAGTCACATTTGTCCTCATTGTGATGTTTGATGTGAACATGAACTGAGGCTGATCACCTGAATCTCCATAAGCAGTTATACGACCTGTATATCTTCCTAATGAAGTGCTCATACGCATGTACTGTATATACACAGTGGCTTCAGAAGGTATTCAGACCCCTTCACTTTGTGTGCGTTTAATCTTAAGTGGTTAATATTGCCATTTGCAATTTGTCCATCTGTCTACACGCACGTGAAATCTGTTATTTACATAAGTAGTCCGTCTGTATATAAGGTCTTACAATTCACACTGCATGCACTCACCAAGCGGTGAAGTCCAGAGAACTCTTTGTAGACCTCTGTGACAAAACTGTGACAAGGCACAGATCAGGGCATGGATATAAACCATTTCATCTCTCTATAGGGATAGAGAATGGTCATATATCAGCTCAGTTTTGCTTCTATTTTGAGATGTTCAACTCTGGCCATTTTGTTAGGAGAATAATTGTTAGTCAAAATATTGATTATTCATGTATTCATTGATTTTACATGAAAAACCTGCTGAGGACGTATAGCTATTTTTTAAGTAATGTCTGCAAAGCTTCCTGTTTGGTTACTATGGCATCATGAATCAGAGGGTGGGTTTGTTGCCCTAGAGGCAAAATCCATAAAAAAACTGTTCATCAAGAACTTGCTGCAGCTCGTAAAGCTTATAACTGTTAGTACATTGTAATAACTGAGGGCAACTAGATTATTATTTATCAACTCAGCTTCTCTCATCATGAGTTTAGCAGCTGACGGTCAGTGGACACTGTTTACATTGTTTACATTACTCAACCTGTGATATCAAGAAGGTGTTGACCCACTCAGAGCAAAGTTTAATGAAAATGAAAATTTGACTTTGGAGTTGTAGTGCATTATAATTTTGATCAGAGCTTAAAAGTGATCTTTTTGTGTTTGACAGAGAACCAGAGGACAGAAGAGGAAGAGAGTTCCCATCTGTGAAGACAAAGAAGATAAAATTGAGGTTTGTCTCTCAATCCTGCTGCAGAAAACTATATGCTTACTTACTAATTACCTTCACTCATATTTGCTTTTGTTCACCCCTTTTACCCATGTTGACCCTTTATTTAGGGGAATTTTAAAAAAGTGTTTTTACATTAAAATTTTAATATAAAGTCAGAGAAATAGCTACAGTAATGAGTGGCAGAAAGTCATTAGACTCACTTTTACCTCCACAAAAACTAAAAGGCACATAAAAACTGAATAGTTGCTTTAAGTCTAATGTTGTTCATGATTAACAGCTTAACCATTAACCATTATTAAGAATTTTGATCCATTAATTAAAAAGTTAAAATTTCCTGGGAAATCAGCACCATCTGAACATCTCTTCTGCAACAATGAAATTGTGTGATGATCTGTGGGGAGGGGCTTCTCTCCTCCCTGTGTGTGTGTGCGCTCACACACACGTGCTCTATGCTCTCTGTTTAGACACTCCGGATCATTCTATTCCACTTTAACCCAGGTGTATTGGTATTTTTTAATGGATTCCAGACACTTGTCTATACTAAGTAATACGTTTTAATCTTGTTAATGGTTGGTTAACGAGCGTTGGCAATCAGTCAGAAAAAAAATCTAAATCAACATCCTTATTTAAGTCCAGATGTTTCCGTCTTGATATTGACTGAAGAATTCAGGTCAGTCTAACCTCAAAAGTCCCTTTCATGACTTGTGTTTAGGAAATATTTCTCCACTGTAATTTCATCTTTCCTCAGTTTAACATTTCATTCCTGTTTACATCTCCACCAGCAAGTGCCCATACAGCTCTCGATTCTAATCAGCTGTGTTTCCATAGGAACCACTGCCACGGGAACGGCGACAACGGCAGTCTGTAATGCAGAAAAAACCCAAAGCCGAAGACACGAGGACTGAGTGTACAACCTGCAAAGGACCGGGCGACAATGAAAATCTAGTGAGGTGAGAGAATATGTGGAGGAAGGGGTTGGGGTTATTATGCATGCTCTGTGTGTGTGTGTGTGGTGCGTGTGTGTATCTCATGAGGCAGCCATATCCTCCTGATGATTAAAGTTCAGTCTTCATTAGGCTCTGGCTGCCTGGACTGTGCAGAATGAGGGGGCTGCGGGTATCTTATCCATAGGCCCCCTGTATTGACCTGCCACGTACATTTGCACAGTTCATTAAGGCGTAATGAATAGCTCAGTTTATTCTGCTCCTTTCTTGGGATCTCAGGTGTCAGGCATCTAATAAACAGGATTCTTCTTTGACATTGGAATTCTGTGGAGAAAAAAAAATCCTAGATCACAACAGGCACCTTGTCAGCCCATTGTCATGTGATGAATCTCTTACATAAAACTCCTTTCTCACCTCAGACTGAACAGAATTCTCTTCATCAATTTCACACTGTCTTCTGAAACCGGCTCGTCTCAACCTGAACCTGTTTATGACTTTTTGAATTGTTGTGTTGAAACATAACTCCAACCATTTGAATTAGATACTGTAGCTTTTTACATTCTACAAATTACTCAACTATAAATTCTCAAACAGCGGCAGTGAGGACCAGTGTATTAAAGACTGCCATTTATTCCCTAACATTCCTTTTCATCAGTTTAGTTTGGCACCTCCTGGTTTTCTAATCCACTCTGTTTTAACTTGCTGTTGATGCCAACTCAACACTTCCTCCATCCGTATATGTTGTCTTGATAAATTCACAATGATGTACATTGTGCAGCACTAATACCATGATCATAGCAACAGTTGTACCATACTAAACACTCTGATACTAGTTTTTAACAGAAACACTGTCATTCTGTCACTCACAAATTAATCCCAGCTGCATCTACTTCAGTAGTCAGTCATTTTCTTCCTGATGGGTTTAAACATCTAGTCAGTCAGAAAATGAATTGTCTATTCTTTTGATAATCATATAATCATTTCAGTAATTTCCCAACCAAAATTGTATAACATTTTATGAAGATATCACTTTGGGCCCCAGGATATTACCATTATTTTCAGATGTTTTTTTCTGTCAATAAATCAGTTAATCAAAATTATTAATTGCAGGCCTAAATCTGTTTATTTACAAACAGGCTTTTAATGTCACATATCTGCTGTGTTTTCTTTTGGTCTTTTAACAATTATACAAAGGCAACAACAAGGTGGAAGTATTTGGATTTATTTTGTAAATGTGCGTGTTAAATGGAAAAAGCAGCATGTTTCTGAGTATGACATGACTCTGTTGTCGTTCTTATGAAATTATTGCTCTCTCTGCTGCAAGTTAGGCCATTTCACCACCCACCATCCCCCAGTATTATCACCCTTGTTATCAACTGGCCTTTATTGTTCATGTAGGCTTATTATTTGAGACTTGAATACAGGCTTTTATTTAAGATTTCACCTGAAGTGCTTTGTAACCCTGCCTGTGCTTTGAGTGCTGTATAAACTAAATGTTACTTGCCCAACTCACTTTTTAAGTTAGTTTCTTTTGTAATACTTGACATAGCTGAATGTGTAGACAGGATGCTTTGAGGTTAAGCCATGTTAATGTTAAAGCCAAGGTAAAATCTAATCTGCACAAGAAAGTATGTACTTATGATAGACCTCATTTACATCCATGCAGCAATGGCTTGTACAGCTTTTTGAAATGATACCATGCCCATGGCAAGACCAGTATCATGGAAATAGATGCAAAAAAGCTGAACACTTGAATGTCAAAGTGTCTGTGTTTCTCTTGTGTGCTCTTGAGGCAGCGTTTACGTTGTGAGGGTTGCTGGTCGGGGTGTGAGGTGTGCTGCCCTGACTCTTTCTATCTTTGCATTGCACAGGTTGTGAGAGCCCGGGCAGCCACCTCACCTCCCATAAAAACTCGGGACAGATGACCATTGGCTTAGAGACAGAGAGAGGCAAATTGAGGCGTTTGAAGGATGGCACTCGGGTCAGGCTGAAGAATGAGACCGTCACGCCGCCCCACAACCACCTCTGATCCAAACTGGACCAACAACTGTCCAACGAAAATTGAGCAGAACTGTCTGAATCTAAATTATGGAATCCAAATCATGAAAGGTTGCTTTAAGCCAGTAATGTTTGGTTAATGCTCGACTCTGAAATGCTTGTATACACTACAAGTAACTTGATTGATGGGTTCATTTTTTTTTCTGTTTATCATTTTGGGCTCCAGTTGCATCTATGGAAAGGTCTGTATTAAAAGATTTTAGCAAGTGAACACAATACTGTGCTATTTATGTAGCCCAATGACATAAGTGCTTATCAATGGGCCAACTGATAGATGCAACTGTCTTTATCTTTTATTAGACCCTGAGTCCTGTAATCTTCAGAAGTTACATGGTATTGCATCATTACTTCCTGAATGTGATGTATTTTATTTTGAAATAAGATGTTGGGGCTTTTCATGAGACAGTAAGAAATCAAACTGATGGGTCTATAACCTATGGAGTCAGATGAGTCAGAAGACAGGTTTCGCTGTTACGGTATGCCCACCAGTGCAACGTGATGTCAGCATTGAAGATGAATTGGTTTCCATCGTTGTAGTTTTCCAGGAAGGTCAAATGCCCATTTCATGGGATCTTATAGATTGCATTCAAATCTGGCTGTTATGTGTAATTAGTTGGTCCAAGGCTGATGAGTTTTTTGACTGCTCATATGGCAGCTAAGTTTGTTTGGCTTCTTCACTCTTTAGGAAATGAAATAAATCCTGTTGGGTTGTTGCTCGCTGTGTGAAAGCACAACAAAAAGCTGAAAGAGCTCTTAAAGTCATGAACCTGCTGCACTCTCTGTGACAGTCTGACTCTCTGTGGCCCTAGCTACTCAACATGTATGTGAAATGATTTAGATTAGCAGATTGTTTGTGTTGGTACTCGGCTGGCACTCTAGACTGTTCACCTCCTTGTGCCACTTCTCGTCAGAGCCAATCAGCCGGATTGATTGTCATTGAAGTCATCCAGTCATTCTTTAGAATTTCAGTGTGAGTTACACACAATTATTAGTGGTTAATTACAGGCGGATTTGAACGTAGGCTTTCTCAGATGTGAGTGTTGTGTTGTATCTTTTAAGTTTTTTAAGTGAAGTACCAGAAGAAAAGTCAGTGTTTATAGAAAAGCCAACAGTTTCTGGTTTGTCAACTGTAGCAGTAAAGTAATGCTGCCATAAAGCATCTGTAGTATGAACAAACTAGTGTAGTTAGTGGTAATAGCACTTAAATATTAGTCCAGATGTCTTTAGTGTCTTTAGGCATTTAGAAGTCTTCCTCTGTCTCCACATCTTGAAGTGACAGTTAAACTGACACGTCCTCAGACAGAACCCCAGCTTTGTCTCCATGTCCCTGGTGGCCCATAGTCAGTGCTGTCAAAACAACAGCTGCTTGCTGGTCTGTCAGGGCTTATGACAAGTGTCACATTCTGCCCTCATGTGTCAGTCTGTTGCCTATCCAGGGCCCAATATGCATGCTTTTGGGAGCAGTCAAACCCATGCAGTTTTACTGCTTTTTGCCTCTCTGGTGTGTGTCCAGTGGGTTTGTCTTTAGAGATGAGATCTTGGTGCAGAATGACTTGCTGACTCCTGACCAGCTCTTTTCCATCAATCATATTCAGTCAGTCCCAAAGACTGTGTGTCAGTTATACAATGCATGGCTGTATCTATTTACCCAGATATGTATAATAATTTAAAACTGAAAATAAGTGATGTGGTCTTGTAGAATTTGAATGCCAGGTAGTGTGACGATATGTACAGTATTTATTGAAGAGGCCAAACATACATCTTTTTTTTTGTGCCTACAGACTTCATTATATATCATAAGCTTGTGTTGTGAACAGAGTTGAACTCTGATTTGTGATGTAGTCTTGAAGCAACCACCATTTTTTCTTTTAATTGCCAAACATTTGTTTACCTTTGTTTACAGACATGTTCTTAAGGGAATATTTCAGATTAATTGTGTACTGTGTTATTGTGATACTGTATGAAGTAACAACATGAATGTTGCTCCTGTTGTGTATGTAGTGTCTCAGTCTCTGGCCTATAGCTCTTGAAAATTAAGCGGAGCTTTAATAAACTCTTGACTTTTTCACCTTATTGCTGCAGTGATAAATGAGTGTCAGCCAGCTAATTAATCGTTCTAAAGGTGCGGCAGCGGCGGTCCGTTTGTGCGTGTAATGCCCTCTGTCACCTGTGATTTATCACCTGGGAAGTGGCCTTCTTGTTGGCAAATGTTGCCTCTCAGCTCACACAGAGTACAGTCTAATTCTTTGATTGCTGTCAGAATAAAAAGGACCTCTGAAAATTAGATTTAGAGCATTGAATACTAAAGCTGACAGCTCAAAGACAAATAAAAAAGAATGGATGGGTTCCACAATAATTCTGTAATCATGTAAAAACTGTGTGTGTGTGTGTGTGTGTGTGTGTGTGTGTGTGTATATATATATATATATATGTATGTGTATGTGTATATGTGTATATGTGTGTGTGTGTGTGTGTGCACGCGCGCATGCATCATATCGAAATATGACAACACAGAAGAGAAGAAGGCCAAGGCCAAAGACGTGGCCAAGTAGCTGAGGGTAAAAAATTAAGCCAACACTAAAGAACCAAAAACTGCAGTCTGTCTAATGGCCAGTAGAGTCTGGCTCCAACAGTGAGTCAATCCCCATAGACTCCCATGTTAAAATTACCAAAACAGTTTTCGTCTCCATAGCTAATTTCCTCCTTGATGCCAGCTGTTTATACAACTCACCTGTTTACATTTTATTAAGGCTTGATGTTCTGCATAATTGAGGGCATGGCCTCTTTGAGTGACAGGGTGGTGAGCGTATGCTTCCACAAACCGGCATTCACTGTAGTCTCTGCTCCACACACCTCTCTGACCATTTTTTGATTAGCTAGGAGTTACGGGCGAAGTCAGACACTGCCATGATGGCAACAGTGGAGCAGCTCACTCTTAGCTTCAAAACCGCTCTTCAGAAACCTTTGGGTGATGTCACAGAGGCTACGTCCATCTTTATTTACAGTCTGTTGATGCAGCAACCTGCTGTTAGCATTAGTAAAACATTGCAATGACAAAAAAACAAAAGCAGAAGGCTAAAGGAGTCTGGATGAGAAAATGGTTGGTGAGATGTGGTCAGCATGGGTTGTCAATTTTTCAGTGAAAAGTGGCGGTGAGATTTTAACATTTCTGTCAACAGTAGTGTGCTTGTTAACATTATCTTAAAGTGCTAGACTGCTTACTGTTGCTTGGCAACTTTGGGACTGACAGAATCATAATTGTAACCATCCCGAATTTAAATCCTAAATATCAAACATGTTTGATATTACCGGGGCAGCAGCAGTTTTGGAGGTTTAAGACTGGATCTGTGAGCCCCTCACATTACCAGATAATCTGAGCCAAACATCGGTACTGACCAAGGTCCAGGGCCAGACTTCTCCTCCGATTGTCAGGAGTGGTAATCAGGGTTAAGTCAGGCTGTAACTCCTGAAGTCTGAGCCCAGCATTAGACAGCACTCTCCACCACCATTATCAAAACATCAAATGAGGGAATATCTTTTGGAAGAAGGGTTCATCCTTCAGAGTCCAGAGACTAGGAGAATCAAAGGCATGTTGATCAGTGATTTTTTTGTCAGAGTAAAGAAAAGCTGAAGGGGTCACCTAAAACACATTAGGAGTCATCTACAACAAATTTCATGGCGGTTCATTACTGATGTTGGAAATTTTACAAATATTCTTAGCACCAGGTCCACTTCCTGGTGATTTTCTAGAACTTTCTGCCACATTTTGTGGTGTTCAAAGGACGGTGTTTTCTCAGTTGTAATGTAGATTTTTTTTCAGCTTTCCATGACAACTAAGAAAACACTATCCACTGATGAAGGTCAAAAAATGTGACTGATGGACCTTATGGGCTTTCAAATTTCAAATTGTGCAGTCCTGTAAAAAGCCAATATTACATTTGGTACCAAGTGTAACAAAAAGCACTTTGTCTGCAAGTGGGTGGGCGCTCTTTGTTCTTTAAACAATTGTGGCAGAACACAGAAAGGGTTACAATTGGTTTTCAACATGGATGCAGCATCATTTGGTGGCATCTCTGCAAGATGGAACCAACTGACTGTGCCAAAGTGTAGCTGCCCCAATCCCTCATCCCCAACCCCAAGGCCTTTTGGGACTGAACAGCAAACCAGAGATTAGCGCAGTTACAGCTGGTTTCTGGTCAGCGGATGAGACTGAGGCCACGAAGTGCAGGAAGAGGAGGGGCCGAGAGATAAAGAGAGAGAAAAGCTAGCAGGGAGGTTCTGGAAAGCAGTAACCTTTCCGATGATGAGTGCGTTTCCCATTACTGCTCTGACACTGGATCCGGGGAGATGATTTAATGGTGGCATTTTGTTTTTGCTGACTTCACCCTTTTTCCCCCCTATTAAAACAGAAAACACAAGAGCTGGGACTGGGGCTGTGTGGGAAGTGTGGCCAAGCAGCTAAAATCTATTACTCCCCAGCTTCTTTCCCCTTCTCTTTATCCCACTGAATCTGCCACAGTGTAAGTCTGCTCAAATTCTTCCTGAGGTACATGCTCTTCCTTCTCCTCCCCCTTAAATGGTTTCTGTCTTATCCTCTCATAACTGCACTGTGTTTCCTCCTACCCCAATGTTTAATCATTACACACAGAACATGAACCACAAAGCCCTATGGATACCTTATATCTTAACTGGCCACCTCATCATAGACTTGTTTTAAAGGAGATGCAGCGCACTACAAGATGAGTGTTTTTCTAGTGGAATTTCTGTAGCGAGGTACCAGTTGAGGAGAGTTTCTGGTGAGGTCAGGGCTTCAGTTTGTCCCACAGAGGTGAGGACATAGACCTGCCGCTGAAATCACTCTCAAACTCCTCTACAGTATTGTACCCAGTTCACTGAGGCCCCCTGCTGGCAAACATGAGAAACTTGAGTTAGAGGAGAGCTGAGAGATCTCTCCCCTCCCCTTCCCTTCCCTTCCCTTCCTTTCCAGCTGTGAATGAGTTGTGTCCAGATCAGCTAATAAAGTCAATCGCTCTGACTTCGCTTTCTCCATAGGTGCAACTTCAGCAGTCAATACATTACTTCCCCCTCTTGTAAAACAATGGCTCTTTTATAATGTTGCAATGACCCAACAGTAAATCAAAAACTAGGGAGCTTGCAAAGTCCAATAATCCACTCCTTTCTACAGAAAGACACCAGCGCACTTTGTCATGGATGAGAGTCAATGGCTGAGTGCTTTGTGTCATATTGATTTCTGTCACGTGGCCACTCCCAAGGTAATTGCATTGCTCACTTGTGATAAATTCACTGCCTTGTTTCAGCCACTTGGTTTCAGATGCCAGTGCTGCTGGAGACAAAAGAGGTTTCTAAAGCTAAAATCCCACTATGATTGCATGGACCCTTAACTGTGGGTACAAAGCAGTAGGGAAGCAACATGCATCACTGAGTGTTTCAATGCTGTCATGTTGATTTTTGTCATTGTTTTTGTAATAATGAACTGGACGTGGAAACCGTATGTCCTCTTGGGGTTCAGCCACAGAGAAGCTAATCAGAAGGCAAGCAAAATGATAATGCCCCAAACAAATAAACATTGTTGATACCCCTCTACTTCGTTTGGTGTACATGTAATTATTACATGGGACTACAGTGACAAATTTGGGTCAGTGTTAGGACTGGGGTATGCTTAAAAGAAACTAGCTCCTATGTTGCTCCTAACCGTTCCAAGAATCTGAATCTCAATCAAATAACGTCTCCCTACCCTGTACTCCGTATCATGACTGTCTGGGAACATTACAAGGCGATGCCCTTTATATATTCTGGTAATGTAATTTTTATCTGGGTTATGCCCATATGCACACATTCTGATTAAGTCCTCAACAAAATATTTTTACATGACCAAATGGGGGAACGTTCTGTTTACACCCCAAATGTTGTCTTTTGCAACATTGCAATATGACTCTGGATGGATGCTCTCCTAAAGAGCATAAAGTCATATAAGTCATATAGGGGATGTTATGATATGGCCAACTCAGACCAATATGCAAACGTTCTGGATTAGTCCTCAACTAAAGGTTCTCATACGACTAACACGGGACCATATTGACATGAATGTTCTGTTTGCATCAAACAGGGAATGTTGCTATGTGACCATAAAATAACTAAAATGGAATGTCCCTTTAAAGTCATATTGGAAACTTCGAATTTGCAGCACTTTCATAATCTAAAGAGGATGTTTTAGGAAGGACCCCGATGTTCTGTAAAGGTTCAGACTGTTCCTTATGTTTAAAGAACTTTTTAGGAGTGTTACACAAGATCCACAGAACAGCCCCTCCTATGTGGATAATTTTCAGTTCTGTCCAGGACTCAGTGTAATATAGTTTCACCTTTGTTCTCATCAGTGTGATTTACTTTAGTTGTAGTGATATATTAGTGAATATTGCTGCAGGCTATATGAATAAATGGAGCCTCTTCATTGCGGTTCCACGAGCAATGACTCTTTCTCTTTATGAGACCTGGAAAGAAATGTGGCAAAGACAGAAAGAGGTGGACGAGATCAAACAAAGTCATCTTAGATTTGTGGGCCTTCAGCCTCATTCAGTGAGGACAGGTCCTGGGGTGATGCCTGAGGGGAGGGAGGATCTGAGAACTTCACACAGAGATTAAACATCAGATGAAAGTGGACACAAATCGCCAACTGAGAGCAACATGTGTAGCAGACAAAAGCAATCAATCATGTCCCCGCCACCACCTCACCTCCAATAAGATTACATCAATCAATAACCTCTCTTATGAGTGATTGGATTTGTCAGTTTCAAACGTACAAGGTGGGGTATGGGTGGTGGTGGTGATTGGGGTGGGGAGGGTTGCTCAATTTTCCCAATGATTAAAGCAGGGTCAAATTGCTTTGATAACATCAAGGACCTTGCAGTGGCTGCGTGTGTAAGGGCAGTGCTGGGAGCAGATAGAGGCTGGTCCTAGCAGGTGACTCACACTGTCTGAGAGACTGAGAACAACACCGGCTACATTACACAGATCAGCCAGCAAGGCTCCAAATTCACCATCCT